CCAGAATATATGAAAACCTTTACAATATGTATTTGACACTGCCAGTTAAAGTCCATTTTGGAATATCTCCTGCCTATTAATCTTTCCAATTATCTTGATATTGGAAAGAAAGAAATGCTTCCATGTAGTAACACACTTTGCTGTCTTGAAATTTCCCTTGTTATAGGACCTACAACTAATGAAGCTTTTCTAAAATTACTTAGTCCATCTTATCTTATTTATCAGAAAAACAGCAATGGTGTTTTACAAGAAACGTTAAACATGCCTTAAATGAAAGGGCTCATTTACTCATTTATTCATTACTTTCTTAATTTCTATTTTCTCTACTCATTGTACTTTACAGGATCTAGTTAAAGAAAAAAGCAATTAAAATTATTCCCATATAATTAATATTCATTTATATTAAATTAAATTATAATTAATACACCTACATTGGATTTTTACATTGTTAAGAGAAAAACTTTGATATAATACAATGAATATATCAATTTTAAATTCAGCTAATCTACATTTCTAAATTGTTTCATATTAACTACCAAATGTGAAACTTTAATTCATAAAAAATACTTCTGCAGTTGTCTATTTATTTGTAATATGTCATAAATATAAGGGAAATTGAGTTATGAAATTATTTTTAAAATATTATCTTTGGAAATCTTAAGTGAGGAGATAAATGTTATGTAAAAATCTATTTTTCATTTTAAAAAATGTTTTAGTAAAATTATCTATTGGTTTTCTTAGATGTGTTTATACAGTATTTAATCTGTTAGCATATATTAGTCTATAAAGCCTTTTGTTCTTATTGTGGGAATTACTGATATTTTTCATTAACATATTACAAATTAAATCTTTAATTTTATTTTGCATTAGAGTCTTGTGATAGGCCTATATTTGAGAATGCTGGAACTGAAAATAACAGCACATTGTTTAAACTCAATGATAAATTGGACTATGAATGCCATGTTGATTATGTAAACAAACATAAACGTACCAAAGACTTCATAATATGTAATGATGATGGATGGTCTGATATTCCTTCATGTTATGGTGAGTACTATTGTCTCTGGAATTTTTCTTTTCACAAAAAAATAAATAAATAAAGATTTATGTTTTACTTTAAGAAATTGAATTTCCTAAAATTTTCTTTGTGATTTAATGTAAACTAAGAGAGAAAAAAAAACTATTTGGAAGTCCAAAGATGAGTAACTTTGTTTTTATTATTTCACTACATTAATTTATTTATCCTGTGTATTTGCATCTGTGTAGGTGTTAATAGATGTATGCATGCCACATTGCACATGTAAATGTCCCATGCCTACGAGAGTTAGCTCACTCTTTTCACCAAGTAAGCCATTGGGATTGAACATAGGTCACGAGGCTTAGAGGCAAGCACTCTCAGTGGCTAAGCCTTCTCATTAGCTGATAGATAATCTGTTTTTCTCATAGGACATTCATCAGATGTGATGACACATATTTTGGTTCTAGCAGTTAGGGCCTTGGAGCAAGATGTTTTAAATTTGAGTACGTGTTGGCCTACATAATGAATCCCTGTTTCCAAAAACAAATGAACAAAATATTAAATTAATGACTCATGTGTCTGACCTGTGTATATTCTATATCTGGGATTAGAATGTAATTGTTTTATTATCATAAATGCCAGTTCTTATTAAAAGTATGTCTAAATTATCAAAATAATGATTTTCAGTAGGAAGCAGGGTCATGCAAACTTGAACAATGTGAGGAAAGATGAAGGACAATAACAGAGTAGAAAATTTGAAAGGATAGCAACAGACTGAAAAACTTGATTCTCAGCCCAAGGGCCCATTCAAATTTAATTCATTAAGGATGTCAAAATCTAGCAAAGTGGCACAAACCTGTAATTGTAGAACTTGGGAAACAGAAGCATGAGTGTCTTGAATTCTAGACAAGTTTGGTCTTTCTTTGAACACTTATCACAAACAAACAAGAAGAAAACTGTGACCCCAAAATAATAAAAATCAAACTAAACAAATGATGCTCACTAATTTCTCACTGATTATAAGCAGTTCAAGATTATGAAATCATGACTTTCTTTAAAACAATGCTAACATAGACTGCAAGGGTAGAACTATTAGTTCATTGGGACAACACTTGGCTTAGCTGTGGCCTTAGGGCCATCTATGAAAATAAGATGAAAAAATGAAAGTATTTATATGTACAATTCTGTTGCATGACTAAACTTTTCCTGTGCAGATGATGAACAAGCAGCTACTTGCTCCAGATAAGGAGACCAAAGAGATGAATGTACAGATAACACCAAAGTCAAACTTGGTGAACCATGAGTTTTAGTGAAGTTACTTATAGAAATATAAGTAAAATTTGACTTACAGGAGTAGAAATGACTCAAAGAAAGTTGTATCACAAAAACACTCCCCCCCCCCCAGCATAGGTGACAGATCACAAAATCTGGGTCATGAAGTACACTGCACAGTTTCTGGCAGCTCAACAGGATGGAAAATGTCTTTTCCATGTGACTCCGTTGATATAAAGATCTACCCTGGAGCTCTGCTGGTGCCAGGCTCTTCCAGGCACTTAGCAGAAAAATATAACTTAGAGATACCTACACTCATCTGGACCCTATCAGGAAACCAGCAAGCCTTATCTACCTCTTGTCAATAAATGTGTATTTCTACAAAGTGATGATGAAGATCAAGAATATGTGGATACAGGAACAGTGTCTTGAAAACAAACTCTGTCTGCATTGACATCTGTTTGTTCAGCACTTTTCTGAGTAGCACTGGAAGGATTCAGAGCAGACATGCTTGCTCTAATTCAGTAAGTTCTTTAGATGAGAAAGAAGGGAGAAAATGCCCTTTAACTCTCAATTTATAGGATTAAAATTTCTGTAAACAATCATTTCTGTAACCAAAAATCACCAAACCTTAATATTATGTTTACCCCTTCACTTTTCTTGGTTTTTGCTTGAGCTTGTACTTTGACTTGATCTCTCAAACACTCAAATGTGTGTTCTTAGATTCAACAAAGACATGCGGGCCTCCTCCACCTATTGACAATGGGGACATCACCTCCTTCCCCTTACCAGTATATGCACCATTATCATCAGTTGAATATCAGTGCCAGTCCTTTTACCAACTTCAGGGCAAGAAGAAAATAACATGTAGAAATGGAGAGTGGTCAGAGAAGCCAAAATGTTTACGTGAGTACCTTGTTTCAGAGATCCTGGGAAAGTCAGTATCCAAATATGAAGATTTGAGTCAACTCATTTTATTTGAAAGTACATATTGTCCTATGTGGCAAATCCTGAAGAGGCACCCACATATAAGAACTGAAAACAAACAGTATGGGTATCATTATACAAAAAAAAAATCAGTCTTTTTTTATATGCCAATCCCATTTTTATAAGAACTAACAATAAAAGCAATATCATTCACAGTAATTTAAAAAATTATCTAGCAATGAATTTAACAGAATTGAATGACTTCTGAATTCTGAAGTTAACTGATGAAAAAATTCTCATAAAACAAGATAATAGAGAAATTTCTTATATTAGTGGGTTGGAAGAATTAATATTAAAATTACCATGTTTCCCAAAGCAATTAGCAGACTCTATGAAACTCCATTAAAATATGGGCAACATTCTTCACATAGGTATGAGAAATAATTTTAAAATTTTTATAGAAGTACAATAAAAAGAAGTTCAAACAAAGAAAAATATGGAATATTGTAATATCTTGTTCCAAGATTCACCAGTAGCACAACTAAAACATTATGATATTTGGATCACAACTGATGCACAGAAAGAGAATATATATTTGAGAACTTGATCTATGCATCTATAGTTAATTGACTTGGATAGAATTCTAATAACATATATTGGAAAAAATGATAGAGTCTTCGATAAATGATGCAAGGAAAATTGAGTCCCACATAGAGATGATTGAAATTTGATTCCTGTCTCTCATCCTGGGGTAAAGTCAACTCCAAATGGAACAAAACACTGAAAGTACAATGAAAACAATGGGAAAACACAGAAGTGGGTTTAATCATTAAATTTCGGATGGAATCCCAAAACACAAGATACAAAAGCAAACCTTAGGCAATGGAGTATAAGACATTCAAATACTTCTGTATAGTGAAGATCATCGTCAAGACAATTATTACACAAACTCTGGAACTGGAAAAAAAGATTGTCAGCCATTCATGGTCAGTGGTTTACATCTGTAGTATAAGGGTTTCCTATGTCAAGGATACATAAAACAATTTAAATACATTTTAAAAGATAAGGGAATCTACAAAAACTGGTAAAAAATGAGTAGACAATTACCAAAGAATAACTATGCATGACAGTGAGGGAAATAATGCTTAATTCCATTCATCTTTACTTTTAAGAGTTCATTGCTATGAACCATTGGTCTGGCTCCTGCTACACTACCAATAAGGAGCTATAGACATCAACAGATCAGTCACAGTATTATTAATGATTGTCAAACCACTGAACATTAGATTTGCTTATCATACATGTCATGGCTCAAATTGTATAACTCTGCCCAATACCTAAATCAAGAAAAGCAAAAAAAAAAAAAAAAAAAAAAAAATCCTGAAATGCAAGTTACGGATGTTAGGAGCGCTTGGTGATGAATCGAATTATTACATTAAACCTATAACTTTTACATCATGTAATATTCTCTATTTACTTAAATTTATGTGCTCCTTTCATGGTTTTTAAGAATTTATCAATTGGGTCGCAGTGACACACGCCTATAATCCCAGCACTTGGGAGGCAGAGGCAGGTGGGTATCAGTAAGTATGATGCCAGCCTGGTCTACAAAGCAAGTTTCAGGACAGCCAGGATGGTTATACGAAAAAAAAAAAAAACTGCCAAAAAAGCAAAAAATAAAAACAGCTTAGCAAAAATTACCTCAAACATAATACTTTCTATGTGAAAACTAAATCACTGTAGATATATGTATTGAAATTTTATGATAATTTTTTTCTTTTAGATCCATGCATAGTATCAGAGGAAATTATGGAAAAACATAACATAATTTTCCAATGGAAAGAAAAACAAAAGCGGTATTACAAATCAGGGGAAATGCAAGAATTTAAGTGTAAAAATGGATATCACCTGGCAACATCTCAACTATTCCAGACATTTTGCATCGACGGTCACATTAATTATCCCACTTGCACAAAATCACACTAAAAACATTAGTAGAATTTAGTCACATGCCTTTGCTCAGTTAAAGTGCATGCATATTATCAATAGTTTTAATTTTACTTTTGAAGTATTGCTTAACTAAATTTTATTCATAAGTATAAGCTTGTATTATTATATTGTGATTAATCTGGCAGCAGAGAGTGCTGACACAAAGCCACAAGCAATTTATTCAAAGTTCCCAGAACATGATGTGTCTCGGACTAGACGCAATTGCTTCCCCATCTTTCTCTATCCACCACTTTCCCAAAGCTTCTTCTATACTTTCTGATATACAGTTCTGATTCACAGTGAACATGAGACATAGTGTCTCAGTCCTCAAAAATGTAACATTTCATAATCTGAAAGAACAAAATGTCATGCTTTATATTACTAATGAAAATAAGTAATTTGTGCACTTTTGCTTTTGTTGCTAATTAATAAATAGGAAATTTTGTTAATTAACTTCCAAATATACTACTTTTATAATTTTAAATATTCAAGTAATTATACAAAAGACTTAAATTTTAATTGGGTATAAGCGTGCATTGACTATCACAATATTTTTACAGTTAAAGATTTTAATTAAAATATAATAGTTTCTTTACATCATATCAGAATATTTTTATTCTAAAGCTAAAAATATTCAACACCTGTGTTACTCTTGGTTGGTCTGTTTAGTCCCTGCTGAACTTTTGCCCTTTGGCTAGCTTTTTCTCGGTCCCTCTACTCCAGCCATGTGCTTCTCTCTGTTTTGTGCAAAGGCCACCACAATTAAGACTTGCGCCTGCTATTCCAAAGCTACAGTTCCTTCCTTCTGCTGTTTCTGATTGAAACCTTCCGAAGCTTATCTTCTCTTGCTCGTCTTCTTGTGACTATCACAATATTGATGTTAAAAACCTATGAAAATTTTGTGTAACTTGTAAACAGGCAAGTTTTGCCCCCAAAACAATAAAGAAAAAAATGGTGTTAAATATAATAAACATAAAACCCAAGTTTGTCTTAATAAATGGCAGTGTTGCAAGTTGCTGCCTCTCCTCCCAGCCTATGGCCTCACGATGTTTCTCCCTAATTCCTCTAGTCATTAGCTTCTATCCATTCCTCATAGCCATGTTCCACTCCTTTCTCCTTACAGACCTACTGCACAGTTTTTTCCTGCCAGCACACATGTCTGGAACTCGGAGACCCTAGAGCCACTACACATGGCTAGAATTCAGAGTGGGCAACAGCAACCCAAGTGTGCAAGTCCCACTCAACAAAGGTCAGATGAAATATTTGCAGCGAGGAAAATATCAAATGGCATAACTCCTGATGTCTAGATCCTAGGACAAAACACAAGCCTGAATAAACAAGGCAATATGCTTTCTCCAGAAGCCAGAGACCCCACTGTAGCATGCCATAAGAAAAGCAATAAAGCAAGTGCTTCACAGGAGCAACTGTGAGTGTGTTGGAGAAACTTTAAAAAGATTACCAATAAATACTAAACAAAGGCAGTGAAAACAACACAGAAACAGTTGAATGAAATAATGAAAAAAATCCCAGATATGAAAGGAGTCAACAACAACAAAATGAAATCACTAAAGAATTGCCAAACTCCTGGGCAGTTTGTGGGGCCACTGGCAGTAGAACTAGTATTTCTCCCTAATGCATGAACTGGCTTTTTGGAGTCCATTCCCTATGGAGGTTACCTTGCTCCACCTACATACAGGGCATAGGGCCTTGGTCCTGCCTTCAGTGATGTGACAGACTTTGTTGACTCCCCATGGGAGGCCTCACCCTCTCCAAGGAATGCTAGGGGATTAGGAGGTCAGGAAGGTTGGAAGAACAGAGAGAGGGGAGGAAGGGGGAACTGGGATTGGTATGTAAAATGAAAAAGTTCTTTCTTTCTTTCTTTCTTTCTTTCTTTATTTATTTATTTATTTATTAAAATTTTTCAACTCCTCCCCTCCTCCCATTAACCTCTCACTCCCGCCACAAACCCTTACCCCCTCCCTCTCCAGTCCTAAGAGAAGTCAGGATACCCTGCCCTGTGGGAAGTCCAAGGCCCTCCCTCTCCATCCAGGCCTAGGAAGGTGTGCATCCAAACAGACTAGGCTCCCAAAAAGCCAGTACATGCAGTAGAATCACATTCCAGTGCCATTATCTTTGGCTTCTCGGTCAGTCCTCATTGTCAGCCACATTCAGAGAGTCTGGTTTGATCCCATGCTCATTCAATACCAGTTCAGCTGGCCTTGGTGAGCTCCCATTAGATCAGTCACACCATCTTAGTGGGTGGACACACACCTCACAGTCCTGACTTCCTGGCCCATCTTCTCCCTCCTTCTGCTCCTCATCTGGACCTTGGGAGCTCAGTCCAGTGCTCCAGTGTGGGTCTCTGTCTCTCCATCCATCGCTGGATAAAGGTTCTATGGTCATATTTGAGATATTCATCAGTGTGGCTATGGGACAAGGCCAGTTCAGGCACCCTTCCTCTGCTGCCCAAGGAACAAGCTGGGGACATCTCCTTGGACACCTGGGAACCCCTCCAGAGCCAAGTCGCTTGCCAACCCTAAAATGGCTCCCTTAATTAAGATATCTTCTTCCCTGCTCATGCCATATTCACCCTTCCTCCATCTCAACCATCCCACTCCCCCAAACTCTCCCCAATCCTCCCCTTTTCCCTTCTCTCTCCCCCTCTCCTCTTCTCCCCACCCCACCCCCACCCCCATGCTCCCAACTTTTTCCAGGTGATCTTGTCTACTTCCAATCCAGGAGGATAAATATATGTTTTTCTTTGGGTTCACCTTATTATTTAGCTTCCCTAGGATCACGAACTATAGGCTCAATGTCCTTTGTTTATGGCTAGAATCCACAAATGAGTGAGTTCATACCATGTTCATCTTTTTGGGTCTAGGTTATCTTACTTAGTAAAGTGTTTTCTATTTCCATCCATTTGCATGCAAAATGCAAGATGTCATTGTTTTTTACCACTGAATAGAACTCTAATTGTATATGTGACACACCTGCTTTATCCATTCTTCCATTGAGGGGCACCTAGGTTGTTTCCAGGTTCTGGCTATTACAAATAGTGCTGCTATGAACATAGTTGAACAAATGCTTTTGTAGTATGATTAGGCATCTCTTGGGCATATTTCCAAGAGTGGAATTGCTGGATCCTGAGGAAGGTTGACTCCTGAGAAACCACCACACTGACTTCCAAAGTGGTTGCACAAGTTTGCATTCCCAGCAGCAATGGATGAGTGTTCCCCTTACTCCACATCCTCTCCAGCATAGGTTAAATTCTTTTAAAGAAAATTTTTAAAAAGAAATGCTAAGCTGAACTAAAACTCAAAATAAAATCCAAACAAAAACTCAGAAGAAAACCTTTCCAAACTACTGAATAAAATTAAATAGAGAATTACATCTTGAAGACATGCTAGAAGAAAAATGGATAGCTCAGTCAAAAGAAATATTTAAAAAGAAAAAAAAGGGAATAAGGAAGAAAGAAAGGAAGAAAGGGAGTAAAAAATAAAGAAAGGAAGGAACAAAATAAGGAAGAAAGGAAGACAAAGGAAAGAATGAAGGTAAAGAAAGGAAGGAAGATAAAAGAAGGAAGATTCAGGCACTAAATATTAAGAAAATCTTTGACTCTATAAAAATACCAATAAATAGAGGAAAGGGAAAAAAACAGAAAAAAGGCATAGAAAGTAATTTTAATAAAGCATAGAAGAAAATGTACCTTAATCTAAAGAATGATGCTTTCAAAATATAAAAAACACATAGAAAAGAAAATAGATAAAAACCAGAAAAGAAAATCCCCATGGCACATGATAATCAAAATACTAAATGTGTACAATAAAGTATTTAAAATTTGAAATAGATAACGACCAAGTCAAACATAAAAGTAAGCACATTAAAATAACACCTGACTTTTCGATAGAGACTCTGAAAGCCAGAAGAATATTGATAGATGTTGGGAAACTCTGAAACACCACAGATGTTGATCCAGACCGCATGCTCAGTAAACCTATCAGTCAAAATCAATAGAAAAAGAAAAACATGCACAATAAAACCAAATTTAAGGACTTTTTGTCCACCAACAAGTCTTTACAGAAGACACTAGAAGGAAAAAAATCAGTCTTAAAAAGAACGTTAACTACACCAAGAATACACAAAGGATAAATATATACCACCTCAAGGTAAAAGGATTTCCTGGCAGAGCAAATTCTCTACCATAGGAGATAGTGTAGTTGGGACAACTTCAGCAGGCTTCACTGAGGAGGATGCCAGTAATCTTATTACAGATGCTGATGAACTAACAGTGAGAAAGGCTATTGTTTTTATTACTATGATGTTGTAATACCTTAAGATCTGGAATGGTAATCCCTCCAGAGTTGTTTCTTAATTTACTCAAGAGTTTTTGGAGGTGGAATTTAGGATAGTTTTTTTTTTTCTATTCCTATGAAGAATGAGACTAGGATTTTGGAGGAATTTTACTAAATCTGTAAATAGTTTTTGGTATAGTGTTCATTTTCAAAATATTCACTCTTGGTTTGCTACAAGGAAGAAAACTATGAAATATTACATGATACTATGTTATAAGCACAAAAACAAATATGTAGACTAGTGGAACAAAACGATATACCCAAGCAAAAACACATTTAACTTCAGCCATGTGTTAAATACTTCAGAGATATGTGTAAAACATATTCTGGTGAAAATAAAACCTTTTCAACAAATGGTGATGAGGAAATTGGACATCCATATGCAAGAGAATGACTAGACCCATATCTCACACCTTGCTTAAACAGTAAGTGCAGATGAATAAAATATTTAAATATGAAATCTGAAACAGAAACTTCAAGAAGAAAACATAGTCAGTAACATACCGTATGACAGATATGTAGGAGAGGACTTTCTGAACAGGACTCCATTTCTACAAACTTAATGCCAACAATTGACAAGTGGAACTTTATAAAGCCTGAAAACTTCTTCACGGCTAAAGAAACAAAGAATGGGATTAAAAGGAAGCCCACAGATAATATATAGATATACACATCCCAAGAAGGTAGTTTTGATTTGTATTTCCCTAATGGGTAAGAATGTTGAACATTTCTTGAGTGTTTCTCAGCCATTCAAGATTCCTCTACTGCGAATTCTGTTTAGACCTGTGTCCCATTTTTTCAATTTGATTATTTGGTCTTTTCGGTATCTAGTTCTTTGATTTCTTTATGTTTTAGTTACTAGGCCTTTCTCAAAGGTGGAATTAGTAAAAGAAATTTCCCGTTCTGTAGGCTACCTCTGTGTCCTTTGTCTCACAGAAGCGATTTATTTTCATGAGGTCCAATTTATAATTGGACTAGTCATGTTTACTTTTACCTAGGTCTTTGGGTTTCTTAGTTTCTGCTTCTTGGGTTCCTAAGTAGATAAGAGTTTCTTCTCATGGTGTATGGCTTAAGTAAAATCAGATATTGGTTGGCTACTCCAACAAATTCTGTGCCACCATTGCCCTAGCATATTTTAAAAACAGGACAGGTTGTAGGTCAAAGGTGTTATGGCACGTTTCTCTTTTAGTAGTCTGCAGAGTTCCTTCTTATAACAAAAAGACTAGATCATAGGGGTGAGACTCCATGTAGGCACAAGCTGAACTTCTCCATATTCCAAGAGTTGTGTGGGTATTGTTTTCTCAAATGGGGCCCTGCTGTCAATCTGCAGAGAGCAAGCCTTTAACATCAGCCTGGGTTATTTGGGAATGTCCATGGGACCCCCTTTCCAACGACTCAATTAAGCACAATCCAGACATGCCACTGGAAGCCTTGTCTGACTACAAAATATGGCCAGTTGAGACTCCATCTCCTCCCTTACTAAAAATCTTCATTAGGACCACATTCATAGGTTTCAGGAAGTTTCCACTTCATTAGATTTCCACGTTGCCCTAAAAGTGCTCCTCAATCCCTGCTGTTTTTTGTTTGGTACATTTACAAGATGCAATATTACTCAGCAGTTTAAAATAAATGACGCCATGAAAATTGCAGTCAATTGGATGAAACTAGAAAAACAATCA